TGTTCCAATAATTCAGTATGATTTAAATAATACATTCTAATATATTATAACACATATAGTTCTATCTATTTTTAAAATATAACACTCAAAATTGCTTGTAGTAAACGTATAAGTTGAATTTTTTAATTACCTACACTAGTAACACAGATTAAAAATGCAAATTGGGAAATTGCGATCATAATTAAAAATAGTTCTGTTAAATATTTTATTTTTATATAAATAAATATGTTATAGTTAATTAAATTTGAGCTCTATTTCTGAAAGATGTTTCCAACTCAAAAAAATATATTTATTTATATTTAAAACATTTAATTAGAAAAATTTTGCAATGTAAAAGGACCCCATGAGATTTTTAAATATTGATAGTTATTTATTTGAGATTTGTCCCGAAGGTTTTTAATATATTTTTGTTTCTGAAAATAGAGAAAAAAAAAATTAAAATCCAACATTACTAATTACCTATAACATATTTTTTTTATAGAAGTTATAGCTTCGTTTTTAGAATTTCTTTTCGAGCAAAAACAAATAAATATCCAAGATGTACAAAAGACCAAAATAACTTTTTTCATATATCTATACTATAAGTAAATAAGTGCACATAGCTCCGAATTTATAGCAGCATCATATTCACATAAATTTAATTGTTACGCTTATATAAATGTGAGTAACGTAATAAGTTTTGGTGTGTGCATCCTATCAGTGAATTTGTTTATCTCATATGGAAAATATATATACTTCTGAAATATATCTAAGAGCACATACACAGCTTAAGAAATACATTTAGATAATACAATATATACTATTACGACCGGAGAGATGATTCCACATGAAGATGAGAGATTTGTTGCTGTGTTGAGTGTGATGCCCAGGATTTCATGGTGCATATCGTGTTCTGTAATAAAAATTATATAAATTAATACAAAAAGATTTAAAAAAGTAGTAAAATGTTTGAAATATAGGTATATATTCGAAAGACATTTGTGTTGAAAATATAACACAATACTTTTATTTACACAAGTCAAAAGAAAGAATTAATATTAGCGATTATCTTAATAAAATTAGAATTAAATCGTTTGACACCGTAGATAAATAATAATTAATCAAATATAAATGAAGTAATTAGAAATTATCAAAAATTAGACTATCAACAAATAATTTATGATGTTTTACATAATAGAGTTTAATGTATTTTAATGGATTTTAATGAATTTTAATGGATTTAATCGATTTTAAAGAATTTTAATAGATTTTAATGGATTTTAAAGGAGTTTAATGGATTTTAAAGAATTTTAATGGATTTTAATGGTTTTTAATGGATTTTAAAGGATTTTAATGAATTTTAAAGGATTTTAATCGATTTTAATGGATTTTAACAGATTTCAATGGATTTTGTTTATTGCGTGTTAGTTTAATGGTATCCATTTTATTATTCTTATAGTAATTAATAAGTTTTAATGGATCACTTTTAAATCTACATCTTTTTCACCATTTATTCGCATTTAATTATAATTATTAAAGCATTCCTGTAAAATTCTCTTATTAGGTGTCTTTATAATCATTAAGTTTAACAAAATATTCTAACATCGTTTTAGCTTATTGCATTCATAAAATTAAATACCGTGTCGAAGTTATAGTCTCAGATGTCTCGAATCTATCTTGATATTACATTTCGTGATGTTTCATAAAGTTTTAGGGACAATCGTTCGACTTTATTAGCAGTAAAATTGTGTTACGTTTTATGACAACCTTGACATTGTTTAGATATAAAATTAAGTGAAATATTCTGCAGGGTTTATGTTTGATTAGAAAATTTAAAGTATTATTAATACTTGTTTTCTTTTTTATTACATTCATGATTGTTTAGTATCCTCTACAATAAAACATAACCAGTTTATTTTTTACTTCATTCTACACAAATATTTGATTCGTTGGATATTTTATTTCTGAAAAATATAATTATTGTCAAATGAAAAGTTAAGTTTTGATTAAAAAAACTGACAGTATATCTAATTAATAAAATTTTTCAGACTGTTATTTTTCCCGACCATTTTAAAACTGCTTTAATTAATTTAATTAAAGGGGAAAAAGACCATTTTCGGTAATTACATAATTGGCGAAATTTGTTGAAAAAGTATTAAAAAAAAAATGTTAACAGGAGTTTTTTTCACATTCTATCTATAGACCTATTGAATAGAGTTTAAGGCCGAGTTAATTTTTTCCTTTTTACGTTTAATGGCAAAAAGGTAAAAATATAAAGGTTATGTATTTAATTTTCTCAGTTGGAAGGGGACCACTATAGGGTTGTCTTTAGCCACATTAGAGGACTAAAGAATCGGATCTAAAAGGATAAAGTAAAAGAATGGTGTTAGGTATCTAAGAAGATGATTCAGCATTTGCCTATTGTACGTTCGTTTAATGATATAAATTCTTATAGTACTTGATTTTGATAGATTTTTATAGAATTTAATAGATTTTAAAAGATGATTTTAAAAGATTTTAATAGGTTTCGATAGATTTTGATAGATTTTAATAGATTTCGATAGATTTCAGTAGATTTCAATAGATTTCGATAGATTTTAATGGATTTTAATAGATTTTAAAGGATTTTAATGATTTTAAAGAATTTTAATGGATGTTAATGGATTTTAATAGATATTAAGAGATTTGAATAGATTTGAATAGATTTTAACAGATTTGAATAGATTTGAATAGATTTGAATAGATTTGAATAGATTTGAATAGATTTTAATAGATTTTAATAGATTTGAATAGATTTGAATAGATTTGAATAGATTTGAATAGATTTGAATAGATTTTAATAAATGATTTTAATAGGTTTTAATAGGTTTTAATAGGTTTTAATAAATTTCAAGAATTGATAAATTTTAATGTCTAATAATAAATTTTAACAAATTTTACGTACAAGTATTTATTTATTTTAAAACATAAGTTATTAAGTAACAATTAGTTTAGTTTTAGAATATTATTTAAAGAGATTCAATACGACAAATTGTCAGAATTTATTAGTATTTTGGAAAATATGGGAACAAGTGGCATATTTTTTGATTTGTCTAATTTATATATATAAAAAAAAACATCTTATCCTAATTCAATAATAATGTATTATCGAACAAGAATATCTAAAAGTAGGTGTTCCACAAGGCACCGTAGTTGGGCCGGTTACGTTTCTTCTCTATATAAATGGTTGTAAAACTTTCCTAGTAATAGAGTTTAAATAAAATGAATAAAAAAATCCTACATTAATACGAATTCATCCAATTTATTGTATTATTATATCAATAATTGTGTTTCATTACTTTTCTATTTTCTTAAATACATTTTGTGTAAAAATTATTTTGAAATGAAAAGAAATTTATACGCCATTAATTCCTCCTTCAAAGATAAACATCAAAATACAATCAGACAACAAAAACATCTTGTATAATCTCAGTTGTTCGAATTAATGATCTTTCTTACGCACCTGGAAGATTCCTAAGTCAGGAAATTAATATTATTTCCGGTAGAATAGTTTTCCTTTTGGCTATGTGTGTAGAGTTTATGTTAACTAACTTGATGTAACATATTCAGCCACGCACATCCCTTTGCGTATCTTCGAAAGTTGCTTAATAATATGCTAATTTGGTTTCAATAATATTATTTCATCAGGGTGAACATTTCGAAAATCTATTATAAAGGACGGTGAAACGTACATTTTAATATTTTTATCAAGAAATATATTCAATATTAGTTTTTTTTTGAAAATTTACTTCTATATAAGTACGAAGATTCAAGGATCGGGTCTCAAAGAATGGGGTGGAAGGAATGGTGGTAGATATCTAAAAGGATGATGCAGCATTTGTCTATTGGGTGTTAGTTAAATGATATCCATTTTATTATTCTTATTTTAATGAATTTTAATAGATT